GTTCTGAAAGTAAATCAAAAACTCGGGGCCCTGCCCCAGCCTCTGTTGATACCAGTAAAGACCAGCATGTCCAGAAATTGGATCACACCGGAGAGACACATTCTGTCCCCTCTCTCTGACTATAATCCTAGGAGACTGGGACACTCCAGTATTGGTGTGACCTGTGAAGACATAATTTGAAAATAAAATTAAGAAAAAACAATTGTAATCCTCTCTCTCTCTCTCTCTCTCTCTCTCTCTCTCTCTCTCTCTCTCTCTCTCTCTCTCTCTTCCCCCCCTCCCCCAACCAACCCCTCACACACACCATAGACACCTAGTTAAACTGCTTGGATTTCTGAGGACTCACCTGTCCCTAGGAGACAGAAGGTCACCCAGCAGAGGAGCCTGGTGCCCATGGCAAAGTCAGGACAGGAATGGGAGGTTCACCAGCTCAGGGTCCTTGTGAGCATGAGCAGAGGAGGAGAGGCCTCCCATGTCTGCACAGGCAGTTCCCATAGTGACATCACTGCCTCAATCGATCCCCTCAACCTCAGAGACATGGGATCTATATTACAGCATTCTTGGCTGACTAATTTAAATATTTATAAGCTCCTTTTCCAACAAAATCCATGCATGGCTGTCATTCTGGACTCTCATGCTGTCTGGATTGCAGAGATCTCACTGAATCTCTAAGTTTATCTTCTCATTTGCCAGTCACTCCTGTCCCCTGGGCATTTTCACTAAGACACGACAACAGCATCTTCAGTACCAAAACATGAATTCATTGTCTTATCTGTAAATCAGGATCTCCAGTGAGCATCACTGTGTATGTCCCCATTCCCTACATTCTCCCAGTCACACATGCTGAACCTTATCTATTTCTTAGGCAAGGGTGGGCACTGGGTGTGGACTTGGCTTTGCCCTGGAATACACTGGCATTCAGAGATATAAGAGATTAAATAATGTGGTAGAAAATTGTCTGAGTTGGATACTCCTCTTCTTTCTGCAGGTCATGACCAAGTGCCCTCTCTATCTTCATTACCCTCTATGTTGTTTTATCTCTTCCCAGCTCATGGCAAAGCCTCATGTCCTTCTAGTAAACAGTGGGTATCCTATAGCTTTTTTATGGAAGAGGACTCCACTTCATTAACCTATAAGACACTAGTGTATAATATATAAGGGGGTCCACATGGATCTGAGTTACTGATTACTTTCCATCCTGGAGGCATCAGACTCAGATTGATGGTGAGAAAAGCTAGATCTGGGGAAACAACTTCCCAGCTAATGGTATTGCTTCAGAAGACAGGTAAACAGACAGTAGCAGTGGGTAGTGTGTGCCCAAGGCCCTGGGTCTGGTCCAGGCCTAACAGAAAGTACCCTGCAGGAGGACCTCAGCACACAGGTGTAGGAGTCTGTATAGGGCTCTGCTGAGACCTAGGGAGGGGCTGCCCCCTGCCTTTTTGTGCAGAGAGGATGTAGCTCTGCTAGGCTGTGGATTCACTGCGGGCACAGAAGTACACAGATGTCTGGGAGGGGGTTGCTGAGTCTAGTGTGAGGGCAAAGTTCTCTGTATTTGATCTAGAGACACTGTACCCATCAGCAACATCTCCTTTGTCAGTGATCCCAGCACCGACTGAGTAATGGATCAGCCTCAGCCCATGCCCCAGGTCTTGTCGATACCAGTACATATTGTTGTGGTTATCAGTCTGGTGACATCTGAGAGTCACCTTCTTTTCTTTCCCTGTGACCTTGTATGTTGGGCTCTGGGTGATTCGGGCATCCAGGTGTCCTGTAAAGAGAGAGTAACAGACCTGATACTGTCATCCTAAGATGAAGATTTGGGCTGAGATCTTGGGAATCCGGGGCAAAAAACCTACCATACCTACCTGCACAAAGGAGACAAAGAGCCACCCAGAAGAAGAGCCTGGTGACCATTTCAGGTCCAGGGCAGAATCTCATGTCTTCCTGTTCTGTCTCAAGGAAATAGACTCAGTGATGTCTGAGCTGTAGAGCTAACCTGCCACACCCCTTCCCCACAAGAACAAATCAATGATCCTCTCAGTTATAGGAACCACATGACGTCCAGGAAGTTTTCAAAGCCTCAAGGTCAGAGTCATTGGAATCTGAAGACTTGTTTTATGCTGTCTCACAATTCACCAACTGATGGGAGACCTGCATT